TCTAAACCCACAGTTAGAGATAATTATGCAAAAGGCTAACCAGTCCCATAACCTATGACACACCCCGTCCCAAAGGAGGGCATGCTGGCCGTCACGTGAGAGTGACGTAACCATTTGCACAGTACGGAAGCTTTAAGATACAATTTATAAGTTGATACACCCGAAGGTGAGTCCTAATTTTGTCCATTCTGTCAGAACACCGTCGAATTCCTCGTAGTCACCACACCTTTGTGATTCCTGAACCTGGAGGGGCGCAAAACCAAAATTGAGTGGGTCAGTAAAACAATTCTTCTCCAAATCCAAACATTTCTCAAAACGTTGTAACCCCTCTCCGTAAAACCTGTATACTTTCCCAGAAATGTAAAATATAAATATACATATATATTCTCAAAACTTCATTTTTACTATCTCAACATTTTCTTTATCAATCATGCCATGCCATGTCTAATTCAACAGTTAAGTATGGATGCATCAACAATAATCATATCAGGTGCAAGAAAGTAATCAACCGGAGGCCCTCTAATAGCCCTGTACGGTTGAATCTAGAGCTCAAAATCTATCACTATCACTCTGCCGGAGTCACCTCTGTGACCTGTACGGCCTTCTGCACATAAGTTACGCTCTAGTGCTTTCTCATCAATCATCTGTGCACATAATCTAAGGTCACCCACCAGTCGAAATCTCACTAACACTCTTCGACTGGCCCGTCGCACCCACTCCGCGTGGACTGTGCGACCAGCATCTACTTGGATCCAAGGCGAGCGTGCGATGCGGTGAATACTATAAGCACTAAACTATGGTGCAGGATTTGAGCTCAATATACATCAACATCATCATAACAGTAATTAAATACTCACCTGATACTCACCTGTGCGTCCGCCGCACCATTCATTCATATGCATCATATCTCAATTCATACTTTTCATATCATTTCATGCATGGCAATTCGATTCACATTTCTATATACTTTGCATATAATTTTATGCATGGCATCTCAATTCACATCTCAATATACTTTTCATATAATTTTATGCATTGCATTTAAAGCATAATTTCATGCATTTTCAATTTCTGGGAAAACGGTAAGTATATATGTATACGGAAAACAAAACTGCCCACTCACCTGGAGTTCGCCCTACAACTCCCTAGCACAATACGCCAAGGCGTCATGACGATCGGCGCCTAAAACAATAATCAATTCCAACCTCAGAATTCATATCGATAGAATATATAACTTATATAAAATACGTCACTACGTAGTTCGATCCGGAAGATCCACCACTCAGATTTTAAATCCATAACTTCCAGAGGTCCACAATATATATCTAGGATAACATCCTAAAATTTCATCACCATCCAACGGTCGGATCTCCGTCAATTAACAAAACTAAGTGACGGTTAACATTTTATTTTATGAACTTACAACTCCAATTCCGGAAGATCCGTAACTCGGATTCCCAATCCGTAAGTTCCAATAATCCTCAAACATTACGTATTGCAACGTATCAAATTTTGGTGATGATCCAACGGTCGGATCGTCAATTCATATTTTCACCTAAATGCAAAACTATAAAACGTTATTTGAACACCTAACCAACAATCCTTAATAACTTTCTCATACGGTGCTCAATTTGGGTATATGAATATACCACAGTGATCTACTCGACGTCACAGACGTCGAAATATTTTTAAAATAATTTTTTACTGTAGCACGCGCCCCCACGCGCCAAGGAAGGCACGGGTCCACGCGCCCCCACGCGCACCTTCTTCTTCCTTGGGTCGCCGGACTGGTTTTTCCGGTGACCGGAAAACTGGGGAATTTTCAAATGCTTCGTTCTCCTTCGTTTCTCAACCATTTTCTTCGTATAATATATCAAATTGAAGCCCCAAACATGTAGAATCACAATATACTACTTTAAAGCTCTAAAAACCAGGAAATCTCACCGGAAAAATTCCAAGAAAACCGGCCAAAGATGAACAACGTGATCCCGACGTCCATTTTGTTCAAACGAGGCACTCCGAGCCTCCTCGTGACCTCCTTAAGCTCACTGTGAGCTTTTTTTAGCCTAAAACGTAGTCATTTAGAAGATCATGAACAGTGCCATTTCACGGGGCTTTAAAAACTAGGGTTTTTCGAAATGAAACTCACCTGATTTGGTATCCCCGTGTTCGTGAAGTCCTCAGGATCACGATGGTAGTCTTAAATTGGACGTTCGTGGAGGTTTGATTGAGGTTGTGTGTGAGTCCGTATGTTCGAGAGTAAGAGAGAGAGTGAGAGAGTTTTCTGAGATGAAAGAAGAAAAAGAGAGAGAAGGAGTTACGGGTTTTAGGGAGGGAAATAAGGAATGGGGATCCCACGTGGTCCTTTTCCAATCTCCAACTCCAAACCACAAAATTTTAACCTAAAAATCTAAGTTCCATCCTTATTAAATTCCATTTTATTTTCAAAACTTAGGAACCTAGATAATTATCAACTTGAGCTTCACATACTTAGTATTTCTTAAGGGCAATTTCGTCCATTCACAGCCACGAATGTAATATTTTGGAACGGGCTGTGACAACCTAGCTTAGTATCCATGTCTATCCCATTGAATTCTTGTTTCGCCTTACCCAAGTTTTTTTTGGCTACCGCAAGATCAACCTTTGTAACAGCTACTGCTGCCCTCCGCCTTTTAAGTTCATCCTCCAAAACGTCTACGTCTTCTCTCAGCCTTTTCAGTCTCCCTGCTCTTTGTATAAACTTGTTCATACCAAATGCTGTTTGAACGTGCGGCTCCAGCCATGCTAAATCAAATCTAAAGGCCTCGAGCTCTTCCCAGAATAGTTGAAGGCGGTCAGAAGCATCCCTGGTCATATCTTTAGCCTTTGTTGTCTTTAGAAAATGCAGCACACGGCCCAAAGCTGTGCAATGCGCATTCAAAACCAAGTTCAAAGCACTACCTCGAGGACGGTTCGATGAGAGACCCTTGTAGTACAATAAAGCGTCTCTATCTCGTCTAAGCAAAATTCCTATGTCCAAGGTTTATAAAGTATGTAAGCCCGCGCTATATCATATTGCGTGCCATATAAAGTTCTCATTCTCCCTTAAAGTCCTTCGAGGTCCAGGGACCTCGTTGGGTCCTTACCGGGTCTGTGGTAGGCGGACTAGTCGACCAATTAAAGTTTCGCTTCATTTTTGCGTTTCGCATTTTACCAGGCATTAAAGGAAGCTTCTCCATAAGATAGTACCTTTTTTCTTGTGTCCAACCACTAGTAAGGCTGGACAATTTCAAAACAGTATTGTGTAATTCTGAGGATCGTTCTCAGATTTCTCCAGTATACCAAAATCCTTGCTCCCGCACCTCAAGTCCTTTTACTTATAGGACAGACTCCATTAATAGGATTTTGCAAGAAAATGATAATGAAAAGTTTTTTCCAAGCCTAATTTACCGGACAGATGGCTAATAAACAATTTGATAATATTTTATTTTAATTTAGATTTAATAGTAAGTTATAAATAAGGTATAATATATATTAAAGAAATTTAGTTGAAGCCAACACTTGAGCTGTTCTCTTATTACTTTGAGGTCTAACAGATACTTTCATTAATAAACTATACAGTAATGAAGCCAAAAATCCAAAAATCTAAGAGAAGTAAAACACAAAAGCCTAATAAAAGCAGCGCAACAAAAACCCTAATCGGAAGATCAAATCACCTCACATAGTCGCCCCATCGTCATTTCACCACCAAGGAAAGAATCCACGAACAAACTGGATGAACGAAAAAATGGGGGAGCGGCCATCCGTAAACAAAGATCTACACCAATAGTGCCAAACACCTTAACCCCAACAGCCCAAAATGCGCCCGCCAAAGTTGGAATGGACCCCTAGTTGGAGGTCGGCGGTAAGGATGACGATGGGAAGAAAATCGGAAAAAGAAACAAAAACAACGACACTCAAAGGTTGAGACACTCAAGAAGCTAGAAAATAAAGGAATGTGCAGGAATAAAGGGGTAACAAAAGTGAAAAAAAAGATAAGGAAAGAAGAGGAGGGACCTCAGGAGAAAGAGATGGAGTGGAAAGCAAAAATCCGCAGGCAAGATGGGGAAAAGGAATAAGCCAGAGGGGTGTTTTCATAAAAAAAAAGGAAGAAGAAAAAGTATATTCAGAAAATGGAGACATAATGGGCATTACCAAATTAAAAAGGAAAACGTTAAATTCACAGGGTTTTTTTTGAGTCTCTTGATTTTCTTATGTCTCCAATTTTTTGGAACGTGTAATTTTTTAATTTAATAATAATTTTGTTAAAGTATTTGGAATTCTTAAATATATTTATGTCCAAGAAATTAACATTTTGTTAGAGGTGGTAAAGAAATTTGTAAAATAAAGCCCAATTATGTGTTTCTGATTTATCTGGTAGATACTTTGGCCAAGGCGTTTTTAATTAAAATAGACAATTAAATTCCCAGCCCGCCCGAGTTGTTGCAACAAGTTAAAATAGAGACAGAAAATGGAGTTATTCAACTTTAAACAATTAAAGCAACTGATTTTTCAATAAATTTTTCATACAATAGTCTATACACATTAAATGTGTAGTTATGAAAGTTTTGTCAACTTTGTTAGAATTTGAAAATGAGTTATGTTAAGACCATCAATAATCAGGGTCTCTTAACTCATCTAAATGGGTACGTTACGATCATTTGGTCACGATAATCCTAAAAATGACTTATTTGGTAACTTGCTACAATAGTAAACAAGCAGACTATTTGCTCTAATTTAAATTTTAAATTGAGGCTCATTTTCCGGTTGAATTATAAGTTGAGGGACTAATAGTAATAAAGTTCTATAAAAACCATAACTATCGTTTTGATAGTTGATGGAGCAATAATATATAATTTTGATTGAGGAACCATTTGTTTCAATTTAGTTAAAATAATTTACTCTAAGTAAATTCATGCTAGACCGACCGTAAAGTTTCAGAACCAAACAAGCAATTCAGTACCAAAAGAGACAGAGAAACAATGGAGTTCCTCGCAAATGCATTCTTCTGCGCTGGCTTGACGCCGAAAACGACGGATCCAATGCGACTTTCGCTCTTCTTCTTTCTTCCGATGGCTACTAGAAATCTTCAAAGGTTCATTTCACTTTCATCCATGTGTTAGGGTTTGGGTTTAGGGTTTATTATTTAGCCCAAAAATGTGACACAACTGAGGGAAAAAGGCGCTCTTTTGAAGCTTATTGCTGTTTTTTACTTCTCCGGATCGGATTGCGTTATAAATTAAGATTACTGCAAACTTGTTAGTGGTGAAGTTTGGTGCGGATTTAGGCTGTATAACCCCTTACTTTCTTCCGATGGCACTAGAAAATCTTCAGGTTCATTCACTTTCATTCCATGTGTTAGGGTTTTGGGTTTAGGGTTTATTATTTAGCCCAAAAATGTGACACAACTGGAGGGAAAGGCGTCTTTGAAGCTTATTGCTTGTTTACTTCTCCGGATCGATTGCTTATAAATTAAGCTTACTGCAAACTTGGTTAGTGGTGAAGTTTGGTGCGGATTTAGGCTGTAAACCCCTTGTTTGCTTTCGTTCTTGGGCTACTGATTGATCCTGTACATTGAGCTGGTTTCGACAATTTCCGGGGCTAAGTCCTACTAGGAAGTTTTCGTGATTACTATTTACTTTCATCCTTCCAGTATATTTGGATGCTGTATACTTTCATTTACAACTCAACTGAATCTATGAACACCCATTTTTAGGCTCTTTTTCTTAATATTTCTCTCAAAAAAGTTCTTATTTTTTTGAATGGATCCTGCAGTTTTGATGAAGTATAAATTTTTTGTTTACAGACAAAAAAAATTTTATTTTTTCTAAATGTAACCCACATTCATGATAGACTAGGCATTGGGCATATATAATAAGTAATTGCCATAATAATGATTTGCTTAGGTGAATATTTGTTGATAATCCCGCTATGTGGATTGAAAAATATGAGTATATTCATTTTGATGATGCATCTTTTGAGGTAGGCAATAGCAAGAAGAAAGTCAACGACTCTGACAACAAGTTGCTGGTAAATGAGAAGCAGAGTAAGAAAAATACAGAGGTACCTCCAGAAGAGTGCAAAATGCCACTGGTATGGATTGACTTGGAAATGACTGGTGAGGGTAATATTGCTTGGTATAATACAAAAATGCCTAACTAAATAACATTGATAATTTCTTCGCTACTCTTGGGAACTATTTCTGTGTGGAACTTTGTTGTATGGAGTATATACATGTTGCATGATGTGACTTATTTGAGTTTAAAGGGTCGTGGCGATGCCCGTGGAAAGACATAGCTCAGGTCCTTTCCATGTTCTCTTCTAATCTTCGTTTCACAGTTGGAAAGGGGGAGGTTTTGTTTCTGGGATGATATTTGGGAGTAACCTAATCTGTGATTCTGAGGGGAAGGATAGGTGAATCTGTGTATTTCTTATGGGAAAATGCTAGACTTTTGGCTTGGCAATTCTTTCGCTGCCCCTTCTTCTTCCAAACTTGGATTGGATGTTTCAGGTTTTTAGGCTTTCTGTTAGTAGTTGCCGGCTTCTTCCCTTTTATTGGATAGGTGTCTGTATTTCCTGCTAAAGAATGTTCTGTTTCATGCAGGTTTAGGGCTATTTATAGATAGACTACTGGTCCACCTTAATTGTACAACTTAGTCTTTTTTGATTTATTAATATACTCATTCTGTTTCCTTCCTTGAAAAGAAAACAAAGATGCACATAAAAATATGTAGGAGAATGCTGGGCAACGTACATTAAATCTAACTGACCTATTATTGTGCTGTCTGCTTTCACTTCAATTAATGATTTCTATGGTTAATTGTCCTAATATGCGATGACATGAAAATATTCACTTTTACTTCCGTGGACGTGTGCAGGTTTAAATGTTGAAGTTGATCGAATACTGGAGATTGCTTGTATAGTTACTGATGGAAGATTAACCAAAATCGGTGGAGGTATTTTCAGCATTGTGCATTAATGTGTGGATATGCCTCTGTGTATTTCTATTTTTAGATTTTGTAGGTGTAGTTAACTACTTTGTGTGTATCCCTGGTTGCAATTTAAAAGATTGTATGATAGTATTCATACATAATTACTTATGCCGATGTTCCCCTCTTTATGTCCAATAAAAATTTGTGCTGCATCATATTCATCTACTCATTTTTTTTGTTTTGTACTTTTCTGCACCAAAAAATAATAATGATAAAAAATAGTGCCCCTGAAAAAATTACCATTTTTAGATACTGCACGCAACCTTTTGAAAGAATTTACTATTCTTATTACTTTTTTTTTTGGTGTGAAAAATGATAATTTAAAAAAAATATATATATAAATTATAGACTAATAGAATCCTGATTGTCAACTTCAGATGAAAAAAAACTCCGCGATCTGTTCCCAAAGAAGAATCAACCATTAGTGCGCCTGCACATAAGCCCCAAACGTTAATTTCTTGTCAAAGACCTGCATCACCTCGTACGTATTTTCCACACACTGACGTCAAAAAAATATCCATCATGGCTATCGATTCGAGCTTGGGGGAGAAGTCAGGCTTTTGGTATGGGTTGGAGGGGGAGGGGAAATGGATTTGATCGCCTATAGCCTAGGGGATTGGATTGGGCTGAAGTTGCTCAAAATTTGGCATAACAATTTCAGAGCTACAAGGACAAACAATAAAAATAAGATGACATCACCAAAATTTGAAAGTTTTCCTTCTTTACTATAAGCAAAATTAACACTATGCTCCTACTAATGAAAGGGATAAATTAATGAATCAAGAAGCAATAATTTGAAAGGAAAGACCTTATCTATCAGAGCAATCCATTAGTTTATAACTTTTACGTGAAAACTCATCTATTCTCTATGACTTGAAAGAATCTTTTGAAAAAACTCTCAATTCCTAAACAACAAGATATCTGATATCCCAAAGAGATATAGATACCAAGTGTGTCCTTGGGGACATGATGAAATAATTCTATCCCTGCCTCATGTACTCATGGAAAGTATAATTCCTTGATTCAACTATAAGTTTGAAGAATCATATCACACAGGACACCTACAAAACGAACCCTAAACAACAATTACACCATTGTTTTTTTCCACATCCTTCAGATAAAGCCACTTTCATGTTAGCAAAATCATTGAAAAATAAAACTTTGTTGCTAATTAACCAGAAGCAATGATTCTAATTTTGTTTACACTTGTGTTGGCTGAAATGGCATTGATTCTGAGCCTTCTGTTTAGAACCCCTCTGAGGAAGTTGGTGATCGTGGGGTTAGATCGATCGAAGCAAGGACGGGGGCCATTGGTGGTGAAGAGCGTGGGAGGAACCATTCTCGTCTTCTTTAGCTCCACCATATATAGTGTATTCAGTGTTCAAAAACGTTTATCAGAGGCAGGCTTTGTCAATCCGACAGACGAGGTTCTTATGGCACATCGTCTCCTGGAAGCATCTCTCATAGGTGAGCTATATCATCTATTTTAGTAACCCTTGTCCTTAAAATTTACTTGGGAAAAAACTATATACGTAACCTTGTCAGGGTAAAGTTGGAGTTTTTAATTTTGAAGATTGCATGTATCTAATTTTGGGCGATGAATGAAAATCCTTTTCTGTTGGCAATCCTGTAACCAATCTCATGTCATTCATGTTAAGTCTTATAAAACAAAACTCTCCGAAGCAGGAAAAAGCTTAGTCGGAAGTGAAAGAAGCTGAGGTTTTTTTTTTTTTTTTTTTTGTCAAACGATAGATTTTGTTAGATTAGGCATTGATGGGGTTCGGACGCATGACATCATGCAAGGGCTTGATTCCTTTCCACCACCATGGTAAATGGCCACTTGCCAAAAAAAAAAAAAAAACTGAGGTTTCATGCACCCTAAAATCAATAGGTGGAGTCATCCAACTCTTTATAAAACTTGAGAGGTTTTTGAACTTTCCGACATGGGACAGTTCTTCACACACTCACAAGAAGTACCATATTGCCTTCTGTCCCAATTGAAAAATACATTGATTGTCTTATTTATAAGTTATGTTTAGGGTTTTTGCAGCAAGGTACAACTCGATCGATGCCAAGCTTTTGTGCATAATTTATATGTTTTCAATTAGCTAGTTGTAATTATGCCATTTTTCTCTAATTAACCTGGAACTGGAATGTTTGTCATTATACAGGGTTTTCCCTATTCCTGGCAATGATTATAGATAGACTACACTACTATATCAAAGAGCTCCATCTGCTACGAGAACGCGTCGAAGAAGTGAAGAATCTGAAAAAGGATTATGAGCACAAGAAATCTACTGATCCTGCAGAAGTGAAGAAGGCAACACAAAGGATCAGCTAAAAGCTGAATTCCGAAGATGAATAACCATATGAACAAGCAGAAGCTCCAAATAATGCATCAATTAATATAATTAGTTCACGTTAATATATCGTAGAATTGCTAAAACCACAGTTTCTCATTAATCCCTTAAGAATAATTCAAATCAACATGGGTTGATCATTGAAATAATGCATACAGCTTGCAAAATTTTAGATTGCTTCATAGAATAAATGAATTACTGTGGTCTCCTGTAAATATCATACAAACCTACAAATTGTAATTTCTTTTATTGATAGCGCACAATGTGATAAACTACAAGCATGTGTGAGTTGGGTTAGAAATTTAATATATGGGAGTTGTTAATTTTTTTTTATATACAAATGATATTCGACTTTAAATAACTTAAACTACGTAGAAGGAGAGATTCTAACGATCGATGTATATAATGGTGAGCGAAACACATCCACTCTAGCCAATGTCATTCATATCGGTAGAGTTGGTCGGCTTATTGTCTACTAAGAAACCCGACCCTAATTGCTAAAGTCCAAAACACAAACCTTAATTACAAAGTGTTGTGAGAAGTCAAGTTTCAACACTAAAAAATATGGCCAGTGCACACAAAAAGTTATTTATGCCCTATGAGGTCAAAGGGCACCAACGCCCATAGAGCAATAGTAACAGCAACAACTAAACTATATAGTGCCCTCTATAGGTGTGCCATTTGATTAAAGGGCACGATATGGCCATCAGTGCTCAAAGAGTTAAGCATAAATAAGGGTTTTTTTTGCGCCCTGTTCTGACAACTATGTCAGATGACATTTCAAATTCATGTTAAGACATTTTTTGTAATTGTGCTCTATTAGTTACATTTAAAAGAAAATTAACAAAATAACAAAATGAAAATACCCTACAACCTGAATCAAACAATTGAAAACACCAGATCGGAATAGGAAAATACTGCTCATAGTTTCTCTTCTTGACATATCAGTCACATGTTGAAACTCAACCAAGAAATCAACACTATAAATTAAAGAAAAAAACAACGCAATGATTTCAAACTTATATTCATCCTTTCAAGCAGTCATCCTTCCGGTGGAGGTGTCTGTGCTTCATGCACTATCCACAGTAGTACCACGCGCAACGAGAGTACAACTTGCAGCCACGCCAGGGGTTTTAGAGTCCATTTTGGTCTAAAACACAACCATTTTCAACAATTCAAAAGTCAAAACAAAGCTACGAAGGTAAGGATTCGAAATATACCTTCCTTGGGGCCATTGGGTGGCCGGTGATAGCCTAAAATCAGCTTGAAACTCACAGCCCTCACCGGGAATTTGTCCTATGATTGAAACTGCATCCAACCTTAACCAAATCAGGCATGCAGTGCACAAAAACGTCTCTAAACAACTTAAAGAACCTAATGTTTTTGAGACTCACTCACACTAGATTCGACGGAAAATCTTGCTGAAAAGTCAAGCCGCGACGGAGCTTGTTAATTCGTTGCATCAGTTTTTGTTTCCAGAAAGCAAAAGGTAATAGGGAGTCTGTGGTGAGGAAAGGAATGTGAGGCTGGTGGTTACCTTGCTGGAGATTGGCAACTCCGCCGCCATCATTGCTTATGTGTCAAGGAAGAAGCCGAAAGGAAGATAGAGAAACTGTGAGAGGGGGAGGGTGGCAGTGCGGTGTTTGCGTGGTGGCAAGGTTCGCCGGAGTGGCGAGTGAGATGGTGATAGATGTTGCGGTTTTCTATGCAGTGAGCACAGAGATGGTGAGGGAGAAGATAGAGAAACAAGTGAAGAAGTGAAGAGAGTTAGTGAGAGAGAAAGAGTTGCGTGAAAGAGAAAGACAAAAGAGTGATGAAGTGAAGAAAGGAGTGAATGCACGGGGAATGGTGAAGACCCATGTGGGTGGGTCCCACAGGACACAAAAAACCATTAGAGCAATTCCACCCTTAAAGACTTTGCGCCAGCACCCAGCACATTTATCCACTCAAGTGAACAGTAATAGACCCCAGTGAACAGTAATAGGCCAAAGCATCTCCACCCTTAACAAAAAATAGCCTAGTCAATTTTATTAAAATATTATTAATTTTTATTATAAAATAATAATTTGGTTTTTTAATTTCTGACTTCTTCTCTCTACTCCCTGCTTCTTCTTCTTCTCTCTAACTCCTTTCTTCTTCTTTTTCCCACTGTTCCCACTTTTTTCTTCTCTCTGTACACCACGCCATCGAACCCACCCTACTCTGAACATGGACACCCACCATCCTGGACCTGCGCACACCTTAAACCCCCAAAAATCAACACCTACATATTCAAAAATTCATCGAAAATATACAAAACGGAAAAAAAATCCAGTTGTAGGAAGATTCGAGTTAATCAACCGATCGACGACGATCCGAGTTGCAGGATGATCACGATTTGGAAGGGGGACATGGTGTTGAATATATGGATTTATCAGGGGAAGGGGGTTGATGGGGTTCCAAGGATCGGGATAGGTTCCAAGGATCGGGATGGGGTTCCAGGTGTTTGATAGGGTTCTAGATGAGAGAGGCGGTAATCATGACGTTAGCATGACGTCAGATAAGCCGTCTCCTTCCTCTGTCAATTTTAGGCCGGCCTATGGACTGGCTTGGGCTGGGTGCCAGTCTATTCCACGGGCTGGAGTGGATGCATTGACCCCCAGCCTGGTTTTTTGACTGGGTGCTGGCACATTTCACCTATGGTGGAAGTGCTCTTAGAAAATTAGTAAAATAATATATTAATTAGATTCCCCCTAATAATTCAAGTTGATTGCAACTAGATATTTTCACAAATTGTGAATAGAAAAAAAGTAAATGTAAAGGACACAAAAACATATTTTTTATTTATTTAATATATTAAACTAGATGGCACAAAAGCCTTTATTGTATGTTTGTAAGTTAATAAAAAAATTCCATCTCTTACATGCAAGCTGGACACAAAGTTTTGTGTTCAAAATTTAGTAGGCACCAATACTAGACACAAACTAATGTGCTTTTTTGTTAGAGGGCACATACATATGAGAAATTTTGGTGTTCAATGAAATTTAAAACGCACAAATATGTATTGCGCTCAATGAAAATGAGAAGGGCACAAATCAATTGTGTTCTCGGCCCGTTTTTCTTGTAGTGCAATCTGACTTTTATTTCCCTATTCAAACCCTAACAAGAACATAATTAAGTTTGGGAGTAAAATGGGCTCATGAGATCTCATATATAGGCTATAACTTTGGTAGGTGTAAAGAATGAAGATGCAAAACCTCTAAATAAGACTAATTTTATGTCTACAATTCGATGAGACATGATAATTTCGTCATCCGGATAAGAGACTTATTATCGAGTTATGCAGTAAAATTGAATCCTAATCATCAAACGAGCCACATACTTACATATAAGTACGAGTGAAAACCAATATTAGGTCAAATAACAAAATATCTTCTCTTTCGATGGGGTGTTCAAATAGATGGTGCCGAGCTGAAAGCATTGCCCTTGAGTAGATATTTGACACTTCACAATTACGTTTGGATGATCGCATAGGTTTTTTGTTTGTCAAAAGCCTTTCTCTAGGTCTTTCGAGTTTTGAGTTGACCTTTCAATACCCCAAAGAGAAAACGAAGGGAAAAGGTGAACAGCCAACGTGTTTGACTCTTCGAGAAGTCGATTTTCATCAGGGGATTGAATGGATCGGTTAATAATTTGACGTTTTAAAATTAGTTGACTTTGTTTAAAGTCTCTCTTTTTTTATACTCTATGCCTAGTTGTGGTTCCATGGACCACATTCGCTTCACTTGTTCCACTAGATGCTAAGTGCCATAGGTTAGGTAGTACCTACTTAATAAGACGAATGAATGTTATGTTAAGTGGCATGATAATGATATCTAATTTGCTAAATACGAACCGAGTGTAGTGTGACCCAATATATATATGAATGATGACACATATCGTGATTGGCTTTAGAAGTGTGGCTACATGCAATGAAATTTTTGTTCTCGATAAGTTTTTCTTGAGTGAAGAGAACGAGGATTTCCAAGTTTCATTCTCAAAATGTATTCATTTCTTTGCGCTGCTAGCTCTGTCAATAATTTGACATATGTCATAATTGTAAATATTTAAAGTTGGTAGTTAAGAGCAAAATGAAATTATAAGAGCTGATAGAAAAAGTCTGTAGTTGTGAGGAAGTGAGAGAGAGAGAGAGAGAGAGAGAGAGAGAGAGAGAGAGAGAGAGAGAGAGAGAGAGAGAGTTTGTGGATGTACTATTTATTTGCCAAACTAATGAGCACCTCCCCAAAAGAAACTAAACTTTGAATTTGAATATTAGTCGCCAACATAGCAATGATAGAGAATAGGTAGTGGGAACAAACTTGTTGACTCCTCTCAATGGCCTAACAAAAGTCTCTCTTGTTCACACGGGAAGCTTCATCAACCTCTCAATAAATTAAATTTGACTTCTGTGACAAATCGACATATGAGACTTGAATAATCTCCTCTAGCATACGAGAGCGAGTTTTACAATGTTAGTATATTCGTACTACGAAAGTCCTCTTTTTAATTAATTTCACATATGTTGGTATATTGTTGTCATGAGCAAAATATTTGAAAAAAAAATATGCAAAACAATTTATTTAATTTAATTAAGCACCTACGTGGGTAATGATACGCAAACAAAAAGGCTGGCCTAGCTTGCAAAACTTAGGTGTATAATAAAATAATGCAATCTTCCTGAGATTAATGATTGGGATAAATTAAAAAAATAAAAAAGAAATAAAAAAAATTAAAAGAACAAGCTGGCCTTGTTTCTCCTTCTGGCTAACACAAGAGACAGCTCTTCTTGGTTTGTGTATAGAGACGGCATAAGAGGCCAAAAGGGGTGAATATACACATGCAGATCGATATTATGTGTATACTTAACTAAACTTGGGATTATATATAATTAGAGTGGCAATTACTCAGTAATCACAGTTTAGTACCCTAACTACGGCCCCTATGTAGAGGGAGCTTATATTAAATCGTATTTATATTGAATGGTTTCATTGCTAATCGCATCGAAGTCGTTTGTATAATACCACACTTAGTAGCGGTTAAGTTAGAAACAATAGCAATGCTGATTAGTGGTAGATCGCTCAATCACCTCTGAGTGGCAATTACTCAGTAATCACAGTTTAGTACCCTAGCTACGGCCCCGATGTAGAGGTAGCTTATATTAAATTGTATTTATATTGAATGGTTTCATTGCTAATCGCATCGAAGTCTTTTGTATAATACCACACTTAGTAGCGGTTAAGTTAGAAACAATATCAATGCTGATTAGTGGTAGATCGCTCAATCACCTCTAAGTGGCAATTACTCAGTAATCACAGTTTAATACCCTAACTACGGCCCCTATGTAGAGGGAGCTTATATTAAATCGTATTTATATTGAATGGTTTCATTGCTAATCGCATCGAAGTTGTTTGTATAATACCACACTTAGTAGCGGTTAAGTTAGAAACAATATCAATGCTGATTAGTGGTAGATCGCTCAATCACCTCTGAATGGCAATTACTCAGTAATCACAATTTAGTACCCTAGCTACGGCCCCGATGTAGAGGTAGCTTATATTAAATCGTATTTATATTGAATGGTTTCATTGCTAATCGCATCGAAGTCTTTTGTATAATACCACGCTTAGTAGTGGTTAAGTTAGAAACGATATCAATGCTGATTAGTGGTAGATCGCTCAATCACCTCTGCACCTATGACAATTCGAGTTTGAGACCTCTTCTAGTATTGGGAGCGGACTTGGATTGTCTGCCCTCCCATTTAGGTGCTCTCCCCGTGCCCTCCTGTTTTGTGTGGTCACGGTTAAGCCACGTCAGTATTTTATATTTTTTTTTTTTTTAAATAATAAAACAAAAAGAAATAGTAATATAAAATGTTGACGTGGCTTAACCGTGATCACAAAAACAGGAGGGCACGAGGAGAGCACATAAATTGGAGGGCAGACAATCCAAGTCCATTGGGAGCAGCAGTATTACTAAACGAGTAGCTAGTCAGGGATTGATTTGTCAATGTCGTAGGCTTGTAGCCCTTAAAACTAATAAAACTAAAACAAAATAGACGCAAAACAATGGGAGTGAATAAAATCAAAATTTGGATGATCTGATTCAATTTCAAGATTGTTTGATACAAAAGAAACTTCTGTCGTACTGTTACTAATCATAAATTCAAAATCTAAATCCTCATCACAGTGTATACTCTCAATCTCTTCAAGAACAATTGAAGCCACAGTTGAAGAATTTGCAGCAAACACTTCTTCATCTGAGACAACATTGTTGTTTGAAACCACAAAGTTTTCGATTTCTTCATCGATGTTGCTTCTAACAGTGCACCAATTTTCATCAAATTCCCAGTTGGGTACATTCGAAAATGTCGAAAATCCAATCAGTTTCTTGATCCTTTCTGTTGGGGAATTCAAACAAACACCTTCAACAGATAGCAATTCCATTGGACTTTCAGACGCTTCAAAAGAATCCCAAAGGCCTTGATCCAACACACTAATTGGAGACCCCATTACTTGCTCTGTATTAAACTTGGACCCCAAATGCTGTTCAAGAAATGGATGATCAAGGAGCTGCTTAGCTGTCCACCTCTCTCTTGGATCCTTCATCAAACACTTGCTTAAGAAATCCTTACCCTTGCTCGAAAGCTGGCTTGGAATCTCCGGCAGCTCGCCGGAGAATCCAATTCTGTAGAGAGCTGAAACCGGATCATTAATCTCCGGCCAAGGCCCGCCACCGGTTGCCATTTCAATAATCGTGCACCCAAGAGCCCATATGTCAGCCTCAAACCCCTGCTCTTCGCCACGGGCAACCTCCGGCGCCATAAACACCGGCGTACCCGAAATAGTAGTACATGCCTCAACCCCTTGTACCAATTTAGCGCAACCCAAATCGGCAATTTTGGCGGTCTCTCCGGTCACCAAAATGTTTTGGCTCTTGATGTCACAGTGTACCAATTTATTGACATGCAAATACTCCAATCCTTGCACAATCTGGTGCGTGTACAATTGAATGACGGCCTCCTCTAGCCGGCCTCCCCGCCTCCTAATCGCGTCGAAAAGCGTACCGCCGGGTACGTACTCCATGCAGAGATTGTACATAGGCTTGTTGTTTTCAATGCTGACATTATAGCCCAAGTACTTGACTATATGGGGGGAACCAAGCTTGGACAAAAAACATTGCTCCTTCTGCAAAAGAGCCGAGCTGGAGAGCTCGGCTGACTTTACCGCGAATCGTTCGCCATCGGAGCTGGCGGCGAGGGAGACTGTGGCGGTGGAGCCGCGGCCGACGGTCGGTCCTCGGGTCCAGTGCTCCATGGCAGAAGAGATTGGTAGGGTTTTTGAAATGCTTGCCTAAATGGCTAAATGCACATTTTTATACGTGACATTGGCCCTTGGGGGATCCAAAAAGATGTTTGTAATGGATCCACGTGGCAAAAGGAGAGGGGGGTTTTTATTAACAGGGCCGTCTTGGAGCGCAGTTACTTAGGGTTGTAATAAGGCCACCCACATGGCGACACATGAAGCCACATGCCAAGATTGCGGGATTAAGAGGAGATTATGGAGGGAGAGTAGAAGAGAATATGCTTTTGCTTTTGCTCATTGCGTTTGGACAAGTCAGAAGTCTTTTTTTTTTTGCGGCGCCAAAAAGCACTTGTCAAATATCTAGGTGCATTGTCTTTCTCTTTCAACGCGGGTTTTGAATTGTCTTTCTCTTTCAACGCGGGTTTTGAATATTTTTCTTTTTGTGAATGCGTTCTCACTCCTGCCTCCGGAATCTAAGTAAAATGGATTAATAAGATAACGTTGTTTAAGTTTGTTGTGATTAAGGTCTGGTTTGATATTAAGGTGATTCTGAAAAAAATGGGTATATCTCAGCTTTTTTTATGTTTGGTAAACATTCAGCGTTTTTTTTCACAGATTTTGGTGAAAAAAAACCAAAAACATAAAGCTGCAAAACCCAGCTTTGAAAAACCGGTTTTTTTTTTTCACATCTGTTTTACATAAAAGTTTACCAAACACTACAATACTGTTTTTTTTTTTCAAAAGCACTTTTACAAAATGTTTTTCAAACACTCTGCTGCTTTATTTTACAGCTGTTTATTCTCACAGCACAGTAGAAATAGTTTTTTTTAAAAGCACAACAATATCAAACCAACCCTAAATTAATCGAATCTACGAGCTTTGTACCGTTGTCCATGTATGTGAAGAATTCTCAACTAGTGTCGAGTTTACCACGAAATTCATATCAATTAGTTGACTTATATTTGTTTACGTGCACGACTGATGTTAAAGTTAAATAGATTGAAAGTGTTAAAATTGCAGTAACTGTAAGAAATATGTAAGTTGACGACCTCATGAGAAAACGGTGGCTTGTTCTTAAATTTTGTTATTAAAGTTCAACGCTAACAGATTTCCTTTTGGAGGTTTTGGAGACTTGAGAGTGAAACCGGCACCATACTTCAGAGTGTGAAATCTCTTTTTCATAGTCTGGGTGCATTAATATGAATCCTCAACTGAATTATAAATTTTTAATTCGAACAATTCGTAGCTCAAGCAGCATTTGCTTATGCGTTTGAAAGCTCGTATTTCATTATAGGAAATGTTAACAACCTTTTGGTTTTACTTTCTCAACTCATATTCTCATCTTGTAATGTTTCTTAATTATTGAAACTGTATACTTTCTCGACCACTTCTTAAAGATTATTTATCCGAAAAATATTAAAAAAATCAGAAATTATTTAACCGTTGGACTAATCAAATTTCAATGTTGGACGATTGCATCCTCCTAATTATTCTTGGTGCAACAAAGTGGCACAAATGGTATCACATCGTGAAGAACGGAAATCAAAGAATTGATCCATTCTGTCGGTGCATAGACAAGACTGAGGGGCAAAGCATTGAAACCTTATCTCCTTTACAGCTATGGCAGACACAGAGAGAGAGAGAGAGAGAGAGAGAGAGAGAGAGAGAGAGAGAGAGAGAGAGACCCACATTACCAAACTATGTCTTCCCAAATTTACCTGTCTTCTTTTTGCCTTTTTCCTGTACCAGTCAGCTTGTGAAGAAATGGACCAACCGCCCAAACCCATATTGGATATCTCTGGCTTTTTTGCTCATTTGAATCTTGACTATACCTCGATTTTAGGCAAAATTAATGTACATGCTTTAAGCTGCATTCACAGTTCATCGATGACTTATATTGATAAATTTAATAGTTGGATGTACATTGAAAGATCAATAAAATTTAATGGGCACATCCCTATTATTTAGAAATTTACATTTAATATGCGCTATAAATAACAAGTGCATTCAAACTTCTAAACTACAATGTATATTGAACGCTGATGTATAGTATAAAGAGGCCTCATTCTTTTAAATCAATCCAAATTAAAGTTGCTTTTATATGATCAACAACAAGAGAGTGCATCTTGGTCACATATTTGCGTGGTCTTGAAGCAACCAAATATTCACTACTTTAGCAATGACGTTTGCTAGATAGCTGTATGAACAAAGGTTACCATGTGATGATGTCACATTTACAACTATAAATGAAATGAATGCTCTGAGGCTTTGGCCTTGCTGTATTGCCTTCACTACATACTCCTCGAAATTCAGACATCCCATGTGAAATTCTACTCCCATTCAATCTCCATTCGAATTTTAGTCACACTCGCAACCCATAGATTTTGATGAACTATTCCCATTTCTTAGCAAGAAATGTGAATTTCTTGAGAAGCTCACAACGTGATGTAATTCAATAATTAATATTCGACATTATGTGTCTGGAACTTGTATATGAGATAAAGCGATCCAAATTGTAGCTAGAAGTGCTATCCCCTTAACACTACATTACAAAATGTAATCCACAAGCAATCTTGTCTCTTAGAGCACTTCCACCTCTAAAAAGTCCCCAGAAAGTAGGCAATTCAACCACCAAGTGAACAGTAAATGGCCAAGTGTGTCTTCACCCCTAAGTTGAATAGCCCAGGCTATTTATATTAAAATATTATTATTGTTATTATTTATAAAAAAATAAACGATAATTTTACTTTTAATTTTCGATAATAATATAAGATTGGTTGAAAGTATTTGAAAATATTGAGATATGGTGTAAGGTGGAAGAACATGGTTAGGTATTTACAGAAAAAAATATAAATTATTTATATATTTTGTATTTTTATTTAATTTTTATAATTTTGTTTTTTAATTAATATTTTATAACTATTTAATTGTGGTTGACCCCAGCCTTGCGTCACAAGGTCTAAGGGCTCGATGAGCGACTGGCTCCCCCGAAGCCCAATGGATTGGAATGGGTTGGAGGGACTTGGATCCTCTCCTGAGCTAATGGAGAGGATCCTCCTGACTACTAATCATGAGCTGTTGGATTTTTATCTAACGGCTACAAACAGGAGGGTCCCTTTAAAATTATAATAATTATAGTCGTTGGATAAAAATCCAACGGCTCATGATTAGTGGTCAGGAGGATCCTCACCATTAGCTCAGGAGAGGATCCAAATCCGGGTTGGAGGAGTTTTGGGTTTAGGAGATTTAGGGCTGGTTTGGTATTGCTGTGCTTTGAAAAAAAGCTGCTGTGAGAATAAGCGGCTGTGAAATAAATCAGCAGAGTGTTTGGTAAACTTTTTTGTAAAAGTGCTTTTGGAAAAAAAAAACAGTCTGATAGTAGGTCTTTTCATTAAAGGAGCACTTTAGCTCTGTGTGCTTTGAAAAAAAGCCAGTTTTCCAAAGCTGCAAATAACATCTTCAACTTCCTTTGATTTCAGCTTATTCTCACAGCAGCTTCCAAAATAAGCTATTTTTTTCAGTTTACCAAACACCTAAAACCCTCACAGCTTTTTTTCATAGGTGCTTTTTTTTTAAGCACCTCACTCCCAAACCACCCCTTAATCCACTACCCCAAGGTTGGGGATTTGAAAGAGGCAGAAGTGCTCTTATGAAAAAACAGGATCATCTCGCTCGTCATGGTTTAAAGTGGTTTTCCACCCTCTGCCCTAATCAATCCCAATCCACGAACTTGACGCTTTCATAACTTGGCAAGTAGATGCATACCTTATCAAATAAAATTTGTCCCATCATGTATGCATCCGTGAGGAGTCGAACATAAGACCTATGCTTCCCGGGGAACTTAACTAAGCCCCGCTCGGCCACCGGATTAATTCCAGGGAGATCAAATATTTCCGGTCTAACTACATTTATCTATATATTCTTGAGCAGTCAGTAAATTACAGGGCTGGAAATTGTCTTCCCCATTCGACTAACAATAAGACATCACAAACGTAAGTATACACAACCGTTGATCAAATGTATAGCACTCGAAAACACCATCGGAAACTATCCATTTCCTCAGTTTTAAGTTCAGCGTCGAAAATACATCGCTGAAATATTTACATGCAGGTTATGATCCAGAGATTACTACCAGAACTAGATAGGATATTGTGAAACTCCGCAACGTTAAAGTAGGAATAAGAGACGAGCACAAACTGAACATGAGATGTAAATATTTATCTATGCAGCTTCTGCAAACCCAATCCTCTCATTGCCATAGTCAAATACGGTGTGGTAGCGACCCATGAATACATCACCCAAGATCCTGTCGCAAAAACAAAACATTAGTAAGGGCTTTCGAGTTGCTCTCTTGCCAACAAGACAAAAGGATCATCAATTCATCAATTAACCCACAAACTTTCACAAATCTGACTGGAGATACAGAAGGATCTACAACCACAATGATCTTCAAGCACCGATGAAACCAAAAGAAAGATGATCGTAAAAACTAAATAGAATATAGATTGTACCAGAGAGGTCCGCGGGGAGGTGGGACATCCAAGGCAGTAAATCCACTAATGCATTGTGCTGCATCTCCCTCACCAACTTTGAGCACGTACTGGTTTCCATCAAAAAAAGAAAAGACGAAATGAAATATATTAGTTATGCTCAACTAAGCCACTGTTGACGCTTTGCATGTAAAGACAGGCCAATGGCTGGAAGAGATAACACAAGATATGCCGTCAAACAAAAACCAAAACTGTCAACTATACATTACACGGCACCTGTTCAGGGGTGAGATCAAATGTTCTTCCACCGATAGTGAAGGAAACACTGGGCATTGATGACAAACCAGCACAATCAACTGCAGATTCTCCCATTGGGCTAGGCAACCGATCACAGAGCTGCAATTACAAACCAGATCACAAGCAAGCCAAAAAACAGCAACCTACAGAAACATATCAGATGAAAGGGTAACTTCACCTGATTCACATAGTCAAGAATTCGCTCCTGTGTCTGATTCTGCTTGAGCTGGTTTTGCATCCAAACAACCGTCATCTCACAAGCAGAACACGTTGCATCAGATAAGTCACCAGATACCTTGTGAGTGTTCTCCACAACACTCTTGATTCCGATACTGACCAGTCACATTTGCAAAACATATATAAATAGAGTGCATTGAAAATACAA